TGACCTGAAGAAGAACCCATTACATTTCAGTGTGGATGGAAAATGTTTTTATATTTTTGTTTATTTCCTCAGAGAATAATTCTTAATAAAAAAAATCAGGCATTTTGAATCAACCCTCTCGAGAGAATTGAATTTAAAAAATGAATTTTTCCAGGGCTGATGCAGATCCACTTAAAAATCTGAGTCTATAAAGGGACTTAGGCCTCGGTGGAGGTTTGAGCTCCACTCACTTAGTTTGTATAATTATATTGTTTTCTTGTATTATTTAATGAAAAGTACTTAATATAAGAACCGTACAAATAAATCTTTTTTTTGTGAGAGAGCTGATTTTCGAGGAGAGTGAGGGTCTGGACATCGTGTCTCATTATTCCACTTGTAGGATCTTGTGGTTTCGGACTCTTGGTTCTGAATTAGATGCAGCTCTGATCCATCGTCTCCGTTGCTGAGGCTCATTAACCAAACGCAGGTTTTATAATATCGAACAACCACTAAAAGAAAAATATGATTCCATCTTCCAGAAAACCAGGTTTAAAAAAAAGCAGTTTTAAATCTGCACTGAGCAGAAAAGAGGCTCTTTAAGTACCTGACCACCCCCCCCCCCTCCGGCCGCTGATGCTTAAAAACACTTCGGGTCATTTCCACCCTGTCGTTGTCTGACGTGGAAAAACCAAAGAGTCGAGTAGCAGAGTGGAATCTCAGCAGGCTGCAGCGGGAGGAGGGGGTGAGGGAGGAAGCAGTCACGCCGGGCTGAGAGATGGTAAATGCACTGAGAGCCGGACTCCACAGGGTGGTCCTCGGAAAAAAGGAAATGGACTTCGGCCTGTGTGTCGTCGCTCGTACTGTTACTTTAGCAAATGGAGTTTGTGGTTCGGAGGTGGAAAAAATATTCAGCCAGAAAACAAACAAGGTTTTGTCTCTCAGCTTCAGGAAACCGGCCTCTGTCTGAATCGTCTTTCTCTCCAGCAGCAAATGAAAAACACGTGATCGCAGGTTGTTGTCGGCTCCGTCTGCGATCGGTCGTGATGGAAACGTTAACGACGTGAATCACGATTATAGAGAACAAAACGATCATGATTATCAATACGAGTATTTTTTTAAATGTGCTGTAAAGATTCAAAAGTTACTGAAACACAAACTACAGACTTAATATATTTTATCATCAGCCCGATGTTGAACCTCCAGGCGTGGGCCTGTAGCCACGAGCGTTAGTTTTTTTTACATCATGGCTACAACATGATATATAACACGTGATGATCATGTGAACGAGACATTTCTTATGCTGGTTTTCTGATGGAGTTCTGAAACAGTGAACGAAGGTCGCATCTGTGAGTGAGCAGACTTTTAAAATAAGTCCTGATCTGGAGTGGATCTGTCTGACAAATTGGACGATTGGATTTTATTTCCCGTCTGAGTTTGAGAAGTGAGATGTCTGAAGAGGAGGAAGAGGAGGAAGAGGAGGAGGAGGAGGAGAGAGTTGTGGAGCTGCTGGAGAGCCGGGCGGAGTGAAAGAGACGGGACCTGTGTTCTTTAGAGGAAAGAAACGCTGCAGCTCTCTCTCCATTAGTGGATGAGGGACAGCTCGAGTGACTCCTGCGTGGATGGACTTTCAGCCGTCACCATGGCAACACAGAGAGTGGTAACTTTGAACAAGCGGGGAAACAACGAAAGTGGCGTCAGTCCTCAGAGGGACGTCAAAAAAAAAAAAAAAAAATCTAGAGTGGAACGTCTTAAAACTGAGCTGTGACCCAGTTTCATGGTTGTATCTGCACTGACTCTTATTGTGTCGACAGATTAACATCTTTCACATCAACAGGAAATGATGTCAAACAGCTTCAAGTTGTCCCGTTGGACGATGGTGTCCGTCAACAGTAATTTAAAACTTCTGTGTCCGTCCCGCAGGATCTGCAGCGGGACATCGAGCAGCACACGGAGAGCGTGGCGTCGGTGCTGACGCTGTGCGACGTCCTGCTCCACGACGCCGACGCCTGCGGCACGGACTCGGAGAACGACTCCATCCAGCAGACGACCCGCAGCCTGGACCGCCGCTGGAGGAACATCTGTGCCATGTCCATGGAGAGGAGGATGAGGTGAGCGGGATGTGGAGAGGACGCTCTGTCGGACGAGAGGCCGAGTGTCCTGTTGAATGAAGAATGAATGAGTGAACAGATCTCCGCGGAGCCACAGGTGAAGTTTGAGGTTTTGACTCTGTGAATCGTCTCTTGTCAGGATCGAGGAAACCTGGCGTCTCTGGTGCAAGTTCCTGGACGACTACTCTCGCTTCGAAGGCTGGCTGGCGACCGCAGAGTTCACCGCAGCCGACCCCGACTCGGCCGACGTCCTCTACACCGGCGCCAAGGAGGAGCTCAAGAAGTTCGAGGTCAGCTGACAAATATTTTCTTTTTCTTTTGGCCTTTCCCCCCCCTCAGCTGTGATTGGCTCCGAACCCTCCGAGGAGAAACGTAGATAATCGCAGCGTCTCTGCGTGAGCGAGCTGCCGGGTCAGGTATCTCGCTGCACCTTTGATGTGTCACTCGGGATTAGAAACCCAGATTAGCGTCTGGTAATCTGGACTCTGCCGGGATTCCCCCCCGTCTCCACAGCAACAGCCATCGGGTGTAGATGGCGTTTCATCGCGTGCAGCGCCACTGACCCACATACGGGGTTTTTTTTAGACGTAAAAATATAATTAGTTAAAATCCAGAGATACTTCCTGTCATGTGACTTGAGAATTAATCAATTAGGTTATTTACAAGAGAATTAACAATCAATAAAAGAAGTAAATAATAAGTTTACTTTTGCAATTGTGTGTTTTCAGGCGTTCCAGCGGCAGGTTCACGAGCGCTTGACTCAGCTGGAGCTGGTCAACAAACAGTACCGCCGTCTGGCCCGGGAGAACCGCACCGACGCCGCCAGCAAACTCAAAGTCATGGTGCACGAGGGGAACCAGCGCTGGGACAGTCTGCAGAGGAGGGTGTCCGCCGTGCTCCGCAGACTCAAGGTGAGGCCGAATAACGTTTTTTCGCAGAGAGTAAAATCAGGAAGGAGATTTTAGAGCCACGTTGGAAAAACGCCGGCAAGAGATAAATCTGGAGTCCAACGTCCGGTGACGACGAACACAGAGTGATAAAAGAACGTGACCGAGAGGAATCAAACATCAGCACGTCTGTCCCCAGCTGATCCCTGCAGCGTCTCCCTGCAACCGCCCCGTAAGCCGCCGGGATTTGGGTCGCCTCTCAGACGGTGACGAGGCACGAGGCGTCACGCTGGCAGGAAGCCGTTTCCATCACGGCGTGTTGGCGGCGAGCAGATGGGGGGAGGGGGGGGGGGGGGGGGGGGGGGGGGGGTGTTTATGTTGCTTTATAAAGACGGCGTGTGATCAGAGGATTCACCTGATCGAGCTGGTTGACCTCTGGCTGCTCGTTAACCACGTTCACGTTAAATCACAGGTCAGAGAGGAAGGAGCGACACAGACGAGATTCTTTTTATTTATAAATGTTTATTACTTTATTTATATGTTGTATATGTACGACAGGAGAAAGTGCAGCGTCTCCCCCGATCACAAATAAATCATAGCAGTAACACATCAATTCAATATATAGGATAACTTTACACTTTCAATCAGCCACAATTTATTGAAACTTGAGTTTTGTTGCTTCAGAACCTTTAGTTTAATGTGGATCTGATAAATCGATGAAAGTCTTCTGACAGGTTTCCGTCATAAATCTGATTTTCATGGATTTTACAGCTGGAATGTTTGATTTTCACTTAAAATTTAAATGAGCTCAATATTTTGTTTCAGTAAATATTTAAAGATTTATTTGGTTTTGATTAGACGTCAACATTTATGTGTCTGGGTGTAAAAAGTTGTTCGGCCGTAATTGTGTTTTCTTTTTATTGAGTTTAAGGTTAAAATGTAAAAACACATTTCTTTGTTGTAAGGATTTGATGAACGACATCTTGAACAGTTTATAAATCTTGATCTCGTGTCTCCCATGTCTCTGCAGCACTTCACGTCTCAGAGAGAAGACTTCGAGGGGACTCGTGAGGGGATCCTGGTCTGGCTGACGGAGATGGACCTCCAGCTCACCAACGTGGAGCATTTCTCCGAGAGTGACATCGAGGACAAGATGAGACAGCTCAACGTCAGTCCGCCCACACTCACTGTTCCGCTCTGACTCTCAGAGACACGTTTCTCATTTTGAGTTTTATGTGTGAGCGTGCCGCTCCAGACTCCTCCGTGTTAACGACAGGGGTGTGTGTTGCGTCCTCTCAGGGCTTCCAGCAGGAAATCACCCTCAACACCAATAAAATCGACGCCCTCATCGTGTTCGGGGAGAACCTGATCCAGAAGAGCGCTCCTCTGGACGCCGTGCTGATCGAGGACGAGCTGGAGGAGCTGCACTCCTACTGCCAGGAGGTGTTCGGA